ATGGACTCTGCTTGTGTTCCCACCATGGAGATTTCTGTAATATGAGCTTGGCGGCACGGCAATGGGAGAGAAATGGGAGATGAGACATGGCGTCTGTTGCGGCGCGATAGTCGTCTGGTGTAGGGCACAGTGCGGATCCGCTCACGTGGTCAGTGCAAGTGGGAGGATCCAGTGGATCCACTCTCAATCTCGAGGCAGGAAAGACGTCACTCGGGCTCACCTGCTGCCATTATCATCCATGTCAATTTGCATTGATTACTGCGTATCCGTACATTACCTAAGATACCTTACGCAGTACCTTAAGGTATCCTCTGCACAAGCGTCAACAGTATCAATATGTCTTGTCAACTGTGATCTTTGGGAACCCCCTTATCGCTCCCCATCTCTCGAGCCTGGCCTCTTCTTAACCAGGACGGGACGGGCTAATCTCACCGGGAAATCCACCCACACACCCTTCCAAGCCTTTTGCTCTCTCTCTCGGTGGGTGTTCTCTGTTGTAATTGAATCCATTAGCTCGTTACTGTTCGTAGCACCCCTGGTCTCTCCCTCTTCCATGATCCATCCTCTCTCTCTCTCTTTCTCTTCGTCTCCCAGGTTCCGTTCCCTTGAAGCTGCGGCCCCCCAGCTTCATCTGCACCTGTAGACACGGGCCAGTCCCTGGCCCTCCCAGTAGACCCCATTCAAGTGTTGCTTCCAAAGGCAAATCATCTCGCTTGTGCCTTTCACGCTCTTTCAGCCTCTGATACGTCGTCCTCTTGAGTCTTGCCAGTCGTCCTCACTTCTCACCACCCCCCGGGCCCTTGGCTGCCATCTGCTCTCTTCCTCATCCTCTCGCCGCCGACGCCTTGTCTTTCTACTGGCTATTTGGGGTTGTTAGCTTTGCTTTTTGGCTCTGCTGTTGCTCTCTTGCTCTCGTTCTTGCTCTCGCTCTCTCGCTTACTTACCCTTCTCTCACTCTCCCGTCTCTCCCATCCTCTCTTCCACTAACCCCCCTCCCCCCAATTTCCAATCTCCTTGAACGCCTTGCCGTTGCTCCATTCTTCGTCCCTCGTCTTCTTTCACGCATCATCAAACTTGCCAAACACGTTGTTCCCGACCTCTTCGGCCGGCCACGTCCCTCACAAAAAAAAACATTCGAGCGATATTCGATATCTGCCTCTTTTTTCTCTTTCCAAAAAGGCCAACCCATTCACTTGTTACCAGCGAACCTTAATTTCTTCCGCGACGTACCTTGCTATTCCCTGCAACCGCTCGCTCGCTTTCTTCTCGCCCACTTTTTTCCCATCTGATTCGAGCACTACCACCGCCAACCATTACGACCTTGCCTTGGGACCGACTCCAACTGACACTGGCCGCCGTAAACCATTGCCCCCCCAGGCCCAGCCACTTTGCCTCGCCCACCTAGTCATTCCATTGGCGCCGCTTCTTGCGCGACTGAGCCCAAACCATCTTCCATTCTCCGCGTTCGACCGACAACCTCACCGGGACGTCGCCTTTCCTCCTCTTCCATTCCATCCATCGCCCACCCGCGTCGATCTTTTACTTTCCGACAATTTTCCTTCACCTCGGACCGCGTAACGAGCTTTGCGAATCGGCCTTTTACGGCCGACAACAGCTCACTTAAGGGGTTGAGGATTCTGGGAAGGCTTGCCGGTCCCCAAGAAGAAAGGAGGTGAGTGACGACACTCCATGTTCACCTCTGCTTGAGCCCTCGACGCACCCTATCCGCCATCAATCTCGTGCTCGCGCGACACACCGCCTCACCGAGGGAAGAGGCATGCTCGCTCGTCTGTTGGTCCCGACCCACGTTCACGCGCACCGCTTGCTCCGTCTCGGATGGCCACCAGTCGACAAACACGACCTCGGTCATGTCTTAGACCTTGGAATGAGAGGCAGAGGCGGTAGTGTCATGATTGATCTGAATGAGCCTACTGGTGCTCGCCAGCCCCTCCTGGGCATCGTCGCTTGATTCATGCAGAACCGTTGGTCTTGCTTTGGACGTCTTGGCTAACCACCTCCCTGCTCTAGCTCGACAGCATCATGTCCGAGAGACCACAACCATCCAACCCAGACAAAATCACACCACAGATTCAGCAAAACGGCCAGTCGAGTCAAGAAATGTCCAAAGAAAAGGTGCTTCTGGCGCCAGAGGAGGGTGGAAATTCAAAGAAGGGTAGGGGCTTCCTGCATGTACCGTCTCGGTCTTCCTCGCAGCGCAATCAATCCTCCCCGACGTCGACAGGGCTGAGCGGAGCAACAGTCAGCGATTCGAGAAACAGCATCGGCGGACGTTCGAAGGAGTCCAAGGGTAGCTTTTTAGGACGCCATCGAAATGGCAGTGTCGGCAGCCACCGATCCGGCATCGAAACCGAACCTACCAACACCCCCGGCAACACGCAACCGAATTCTCCCGTGAACCCCCCTCAGAAGAAGAAGAAAGGAGGGCTTTTCGCCCTTCTTGGGTGCTGCGGTGTCCCCGACAACGCGAACGCGATTGAAAACGGCGACGACGCTGTCCACAAGCTCGACAAGCTGCCCGCGAGACCAACGACCGCCAGGTCTCGACAGCCCACCCCGCAGGACCAACAACCCGCTTCGAACAAGCCGCAAATCCAGGAGAAGCAGCCGCAGCCCGAGCAGCCAATGACGGCAACCGAAAACAAAGGCAAGCGTGTGTCTGGAGCAACCACTGCCGACGATTCTACTGTTGGCGGAGAAGCTGGCGAATCCAAGCAAAACGTCGTCAGCAACGCCGGAGCTAGTAGTGCTGCACCCGCGATCACGGTAGAGTCGACCACTGGAGAGAAGACCAAGGAAGCGCCAGTGCTGGAAGCAGACAAGAAGGATGCCGAGGGAGACGAGGCGATGCCCGATGCGACTCCCGAGCCCGAAGAGAAGCACCAAATACCGCCCCCGGTAGAAGATGCGCCAACTAGCCAGCAGCTGCCGCCCCCTCCTCCGAACCCGCCGGTATCAGCTCCTATCGATGAGGCCATTCCAGAGCAAAAGTTCTTGTTGCCACCCATTGCACCTGAGTTCAAGGGCAAGAAATGTCTCGTGCTTGATCTGGACGAGACCTTGGTTCACAGTTCATTCAAGGTAAGCATTGAAGCTGATTTTTGGCCCTATTCCACAAAAAATGCTCACAAATCTGCAGATTCTCCACCAAGCCGATTTCACTATTCCCGTCGAAATCGAGGGCAATTATCATAATGTTTATGTGATCAAGAGACCAGGTGTGGATCAGTTTATGAAGCGCGTTGGCGAGCTTTATGAAGTGGTGGTCTTTACTGCGTCAGTCTCAAAGGTAAAACCGTCCTCCTCACCCAATCACTTGGTTCTGTATGCTGACCCATCCAAAGTATGGCGACCCGCTGCTAGACCAGCTCGATATCCACAAGGTCGTTCACCACAGACTTTTCCGCGAGAGCTGCTACAATCACCAAGGAAACTATGTCAAGGATCTTTCCCAGGTGGGAAGAGACTTGAAGGACACCATCATCATCGACAACTCTCCCACGTCGTACATTTTCCATCCCCAGCACGCCGTTCCCATTAGCAGTTGGTTTTCAGACGCGCACGATAATGAGCTGCTGGACTTGATTCCCGTTCTAGAAGACCTCGCAAAGTCGGATGTCCAGGACGTCAGCCTGGTTCTCGACGTTACACTTTGAAGCTAAAGATACCAATTTCTTTTCTTCGTTCATCACCTCCGAAGAAATTTGCAGGACCGCGTGTCCCATCATAGCGGCAGGCGTTTGGGTTGAGATGGTTCGTTTCCAGCAGGTGTAGATGTATCACTGTCTAATCTTACCTTATAATGAGCATGGTGGAGGTACCAGACCACTGAGCCAGCTCACGGCGGCTTTCACGCAGCAAAGCTCGATGGCCGCATTTCAAAGGACCGCGAGGATGACAATTTCCATCAAAGAACCTCGGGATCGGAAAGGGAAAAAAAGTCAGGGCACTTTGGAGCTTGGGATGGCCGAACCGGGGCAGCTGGGGCATGTCTGTCACCTGGTGCTTCTTCGTCGGCATTGTTCGAATAATGCGGTTGAGGAACCCAACGAAAGATACCTGTCTGTCAAAGACCAGTCATCATGAAGAACAAAAAGGCGGCTAGGAATACCATGGGTCCTTGTGTTGGAATCTGAAGGGGATGATGCCCTTTACGTGGCAGGATTTTGTTTTCCCTTTGTTCATTTTCTATGTCTGAATCGTACCCTCCACCACCACCACTAACACTACCCCCATACTACCACCATTCTCCGGGAGTCTGCAAGCAGACATTTCATCTTCCTGCGTTTATAGCCGGCAATTGTCGATAAGGAGAGCGCTGTTGCAGGAAAGCGTTGCGTTGTGTTGTATTTCACCATGCGCTGCATAAGCTGGCGCCGTCAGATGGAAGCTTTCAGCTGCAGAACGCGGCTGCTTCCTAGATATACAGTACCCTCAAATTCAATTGAAAGCATTCACAAGATTCTCAGTGCACGGCTGTATTTTTCTAAGGGGCGGAGTGAAGGGGGGAAAAGCATGTGCTACGACGAATTACAGTATCTGCATCTCGCAATGACAGGATGACCATGTATGCCACAGGTAAACTCAGGTGGTGAACTTGACTGGTCTTGCCAGGATTAGGGGCACAGTGGAGTTTCTGGGAGCCGCTAGCCCGCTACGCTGAGCAGCCACCCATTAAGGTATGTTCGCCGCCCCAGGGGGTCTGGAACGTCGGGTCGGAAAATCCCCTGGGCGGCGCCCAGCTGGTCCCCTTTCCAAAACTGTGGCCTCAACTCTGCCACTTTTGAGCGCAGGTGCACCCCCGACCCTCTAGAGAGCTTGAATTTCCATCATCACGCCCTCCCGACCGACCATCCACATCCCACACCATCCTTTCCGAACTTTGATTCTTCTTCCCGCGTCGACTTTTTCGAACGAATTCTCCTGGTTTCCGAGTATCCTGTAGCGATCTTGGATCTTGTCCCTCGTCACACTCCTTCACAATGGTTAGTTATTCTTCTTCCGACGGTAATGGCCAGGCTGGTCCCTCGGAGCTCCCCCTTGCCAAACTGCATGTCGTGGCTTCACTTTACCACGTCGCACGCGACTCTTTGGGGCATTGAGCACCAGCTGCCAACACTGGAGTATGCGCCTGATTGCAATCGGACAATGCGCGCGCGCGCCGAGGCCGCAAGACCTACCAATGTGGCCGAATAGGAGCAAATCGCTAATATTGAAATTGTGGCATCGCAGTCTTCCCCTCGACCTTCCTCGCCCGTTAACGGAGCCGGCGCTGCCGCTTCTGGCGCCAGCGTCGCGCGTCCCTCCTCGCCCACTCCCCCCGGCGGTCCCAGAACCGCCATCCGTCGCCGCGCGGCTGCCGACCAGAAGGAGAAGATTGCGAATGCGCGGCCGAACAGCACGAGAGCTGCCGGTGCTGGCGGTAGCAGCAGCACCATGCTGAGTACGTTCCCATCCCAATGACGTGTCCTTCGATCTCTCAGAAATAGTGTGGTGGATGTTGGCGAAGTGGTTGGAACCGAGGAGAATTGGAGGCGAAGGAGCTCAATTGATCGTCAACAAAATGAAGGCTAACCATTGGATTACACAGGACTCTACACCGATGAGTCTCCCGGTCTCAAGGTCGACCCCGTCGTTGTTCTCGTTCTTTCCCTTGTTTTCATTTTCAGCGTTGTCGCCCTTCACAGTAAGTTTGACCCATGGATTCATCACTACCCAAATAGAGCAGCTAGCTGACCCAATGGCGCAACAGTCATTGCCAAGCTCACCCGCAAGTTCTCCTCTTAAGCGACTTGAGAGGACACCTAGAGGAGATGCAAAAGCTAGCCTTGGATGGAGCTCATACAGCTTTGCGAGGAACCGCAAATGCCAGGGTGATGCTGCCATAACCCAGACCAAAGGGATGCCAATGCGACGACAAAGAAAGAGATACGTGCTTGTCAAGGCACAGACTGCTTTTGGGACATGCGAGGAGTGGAAACTGGCATAAAAAAAACAACACAAAAGCAACCTCTTGACGATAATGGACAGTGGAGTGCCTGCTTGTGCTCGAGAGGGGGAGTACTTTGGTTGAAGAGGCAGAGAGCATGACTGATGCGCGCCGCTGTATTATACCTCTTTTTACATTTTATTACGCTTCTAGTCTAGATAGTCCAACATGACTTCTGGAACCCAACATTGTGCTATTTCTGACTAAGGGCAGTGGCTACCCCTCCACGTAGCTGTAGTCTTCAAATCTTAGCCAGGCGGAGATATCAAAGTTCCAGTAAGTTAGACTACCAGCTGGTCCAGACTACCCATGCGGCGACACTGAGCTCAGTGGGAAGGAAGGTGACTGCTCAGGCGAGAAGCTCGATCCACCGTCCCACAATGGCGACCTGAGAGGTGGAGGCAAATGATTTGTGGTATGGAGTTGACGACTTGCTTAGGAAGAAATTCAGGAGTCTTCCTAAAACACCAATTGTTCGGAGAAACTTGACACAGAAAATGAAGTCTTCCTGTGTCCCGAGTTAGCAAGAAATGAGCTTGGTTCAATAGCTGTTCAACTAGTGTCGCACGGGAACACGTGAGAGGAAGCCAGTATCCGAACTCATTTTGGGAGGTGACTAGAGAGGTTCCGCGTGCGCGTGCCTACGATAAGTTGCAATTGGAGGAAATGCCCGTCCCCACTTAACCCGTATCTCCTTCCCCATATTCTCTTCGTAAGCCAATTACCAATTACCACTCTCCCGCAAATGACTCGGTTGGCCACTCTGTTATCCACTTGCGCACAAAATCACTGTGGATAGATACTTATTGGCAAATCTGCCGGAAGATTCCAACGATTCACCGAGAGCAGCTTAGCTGTCTTCCTCCCCTTGGTGTAGTTGGTTCATCACGTTCGACTGTAATGGTTACATTGTCATCGAAAGGTCTCTAGTTCGATTCTGGAAGGGGAGAACCAAATCTTTTGCAGCTTGTCGTAGTTATTTTTGGTGTTCTTGATTTACTGTTCATTCTCTTTCGTTCCTGCTTTTGTGCTTAGTGTCTACTGATCACTTTTGTTGCTCATTCTCATCCATACTTTTGTCGTATTCACCCAGGAATATGTGAAGCTGTTGGTGGACTAGATTCTGGTGACGATGGATGAGATGTAGGTTCTGTAAGTATAGCCTGTGGAGTTGAAGAGTTTATTGTTGCCTGATTGACTTTTGTGCTGCATTGCCGCACTCTACACCACTCGACTATCAACCGGGGACCTGTTGTAACCCGGAAAATAATCGCCGGCCAAACCTACTTGTGTAGGATGCCCGTGATGAACCATCACCTCGGACTGCTCCCGCCTACTATCAAAAAGCTCTTTCCAACTGCAAAGAGCCATGACTCTTAACAGCCTTCTCATGGGTATGAAATAGGCGGTCACCTTTCAATACCATCCAATCTCAGATGTCTCATATGATTGGTGCCTCGACGGAAGCAACCTCCGAGCTGCCCTGGGACCGGAGAATAGGATCATGACCGCACAGCCAACGCTCCACGCTTCCACGCGTCCCTCAGACCGGGACCCGGACCCTGGTCCATCTTTATTTGGTCCCCCGAAAGTATCCTACCAAGACTATAACTGACCAGCGAACCAACCGGAAGACATCTTATAGTCGCTGCCTAACGTTTAACCTAGGCCTGCGGCTCAGACGTCGAAGCATTCCTCAAAACCTCTACTGGATTATTCCATAGACATTATCTCGTGCCTGAGACGCGTGTTGAATGAGCGGGCCCTCCCTTGTCTTCCAAACCCATCATCTCTTGGTCTTGAGTCTTGTGGCTGTGCGGGGTTCCAGAACCAGGTCCAGCTGGCCCTCTCCGAAATCGTCCCATCAAAACATCCCGTCATTGGCCTACCCGATGCCATCTTTCTTGGAGGATCTTCAACGCCTCCTCTCCCCCACGTCCTCAAGCCATTGGACGAATGATGTTGCGGAAAGGGAGGTGGACGTCATAGCTCTGTCTCCCCCGTCCATGGAATTTCAAGCCGGGAGCGCCCCGTGCCAGTCGCCCCAGTCCAGTTCGCTTGAACTGAGGCGTTGAACCTGTTGATGCAACCTTTCGGATGGTTGCGTAGGGCGGTGCTCATATGGGTTACCTCCCTCCTCCAGGTTGCCCATTTGCTTCACCTTACAAGGCAGTGGAGGCCACTGGGAATCTGGGAAGCCTGGCGGAGAAGTCGCTAGTGGCCCCCTTATCCGCACCCACCCCACCTCTAATCTGACCCTCGAACCCACTGAAGCTCCAGGGTCTTTCTCACGAGCTTGATCATCTCAGCTTTTGGCTCCGATGATGAAACGGGGCTGAATACTTATGCTGCCGGCCTTCGCTCCAGCACCTCGCTTGTCACTGCACCTGATCCTACCTTCTGACTATGCTCTATCTTCCCATAACCCAACTCAAGAACAATCCCGTTCAGCAAGATAATTGCCCACACGCATAACTGCCCATCGTGCCACGCTTGCTTGCCCCTCTTTTGTGTCACTTGTTGCGCTGGTGAGAAGGCGCCCTCGTCAATTCAAAGCTCTCAAACGTCCACAATCCCACTACAATAGCTACGAACATCGCCGCTTCTATCTGCGACCAGCCACCCCGTGATGACCTGAACTTTCGGAAACAATTTCATTACCCCTCGACATCGTCACTGGTCCTGCTCCCCCTCGGTTGACGAGTCGAAGAGTTGACCTTCCCCGCAATGACGGTCGTCAAGAACCCAGAAGCGGGCGCGAGCTCGTCTGCCCCTCCCCCGCCACCAAGATGGCCCAGCGATTTGAACCTCAACAGGACGGACAGCGCTGAGGTTCCCGACGCCCTCGTCTCTGACGGATTCAGCTTGCCTTCACTGGAGGCCGAGACCGAGGCTCCGCCGGCCTACGGAGACCTTCCTGATCAGCTGCAGTTCAACCAGGCGGGCTTCGAAGCCGGCGCCAATGTAACGGGTAACGTTCAACTCCTACCACCAACGCCGCTCACATCACGAGATTCGCTGACAAGTGCTACTAGGAGACGGCCGAGTCAACATTAACATCAACCAGAGCGGCAATCGCCTGGCCGAGATCCTCGCCCCGACGCTGAGAAACCAGCTTCTCGCCGACAAGCGACCCCAGGCACCCCTGCCTCCAGCCTACATCCCCCCGAGCCTTGGAGGCCAGCCGGGCCAGACCCCTCCCCCGCAGCTCAACGTCGTTATACAGATTGTCGGCTCACGAGGCGACGTCCAGCCCTTTGTCGCCCTCGGCAAGGTGCTGAAAGATACCTACGGCCACCGCGTGCGAATAGCCACGCACGCGACGTTCCAAAAGTTTGTCGAGGAGAATGGGCTCGAGTTCTTCTGCATCGGTGGCGACCCCGCCGAGCTCATGGCCTTCATGGTCAAAAACCCCGGTCTGATGCCCGGCTTCGACACACTCAAGAGCGGAGAGGTTAGCAAGCGCCGCAGGGGAATCCAGGATATTCTGCTCGGGTGCTGGCGCTCGTGTATCGAGGCGGGCAACGGGTTGGGTCCGCCACCAAAACCGCATGCCAAGGATCAGCCGCTGGACGAGCACTATGGAATACCTGGGGACCCGACGCAGAAGCCCTTCGTAGCTGACGCCATTATCGCGAACCCGCCGAGTTTTGCGCATATTCACATAGCGGAGAAGATGGGTATTCCGTTGCACCTAATGTTCACTATGCCGTGGACGCCTACGCGCGCTTTTCCTCACCCGCTGGCCAATATTCAGTCGACAAACACCGACACGGTCATGACCAACTATGTTTCTTACGCGTTGGTTGAAATGATGACATGGCAGGGCCTCGGCGACGTCATCAATAGGTTCAGAGACAAAGCGCTGGATCTGGAGCCCATGTCACTGATTTGGGCCCCGGGTGTATTGACGAGATTAAGAATCCCCTATACGTATTGCTGGTCTCCGGCACTGATTCCCAAGCCGAACGACTGGGGTCGTGAGATCGATATTTCAGGATTCTACTTCTTGAACCTGGCCTCGGCGTTTACTCCAGAACCTGATCTAGCTGCGTTCTTGGCTGCAGGGCCCCCTCCTGTCTACATTGGATTCGGCTCTATCGTGGTTGATGACCCGAATGCCTTGACCAGGATGATCTTCGATGCTGTTCATCAGACAGGCGTACGCGCGCTGGTCTCCAAGGGCTGGGGCGGCCTAGGCGCGGAAGATGTTGGACTTCCAGAAGGGGTCTTCATGCTGGGCAATGTACCCCACGACTGGTTGTTCAAGCATGTGTCGGCAGTCTGCCATCATGGTGGCGCAGGTACTACTGCCGCGGGTATTCAGGCAGGCAAGCCCACCATCATTGTGCCGTTCTTTGGTGACCAGCCATTCTGGGGTGCCATGGTCTCGAGGGCGGGTGCTGGTCCAGATCCCATTCCTTATAAGGAGCTCACGGGAGATAAGCTCGCGGAGGCCATCAAGTTTGCTGTCAAGCCCGAAACTCAGGCTAGAGCCCAGGAGCTTGGTCACAAGATTCGCGAGGAGAAGGGTACTGATTTGGGTGGTAAGAGCTTCCACGACCATTTGGACACCGACGAACTTAGGTGCTCTATTGAGCCTAGTCGGGCGGCCGCTTGGCGTGTAAGGAGGACGAAGGTCCGTCTGAGCCCCATGGCTGCCGCGGTGTTGGTAGAAAGGAGCCTGATCAAGTATTCTGATCTCAAGCTGTGAGTCCTCGCGCCCCTTTAGTCACTCCACACAAAGTGACAACTAACATTTCACAGCTATCGGCCCAAGGAGTATATCACGGAGGGCCAGCCATGGGATCCTATCTCCGCGGTCTCAACGTCGCTCGTCGCAGATATCAGCAGTATTGGTATGGCTGTGGCCGATTTTCCCAGAGAGCTGTTCAAGAGTCGTAGCAAAGGAGAAAAGTCACCAGAGACTTCTACGCCTTCCCTCGCGGAAGCCTCCTCGAGCAAGCAGTCTCTTCATCAGAGCTCAAGCAAGCAATCTCTACATCAGAGTGATAAGGCATCAATTGCGGCTCCAAGCACGCATGCATCGGAGTCTTCGACACAGCTAGGCCTCATGGAAATGGAGGGCTCTACCCCGACGCTGCCGCAATCTCCACAGCCAGACACACTGTCGTTAACCCAGTCTCAGACGGCTTCCACTGCTCCTTCCATGGTCTTCAGCCCTCCCGATGGTGCGTCGATTGCTCGTAGCGAAACTACTCCATCAGAACATGCGTCAACGACTCAATCTGTAAGACCACCCAACAGTCCGGCGAAGAGGTCGTTCAAAGAATCGATGCCTGCAAACGTGGGTGTCGATGCTGCCGTAGCAGCTGGAACCAGCGTTAGTCGCATCGTTACTACCGGTGTGAAGACACCGATGAACGTGTGCCTCGGCTTGGCAAGAGGTTTCCGGAATGCCCCTCGATTGTACAACGATGACACTGTCCGGCCGCCCGAGAAGGTGACGGACTTGGCAAGCGGTATCAGAATAGCTGCCAAGGAATTCGGCTACGGCATGTTTGATGGCATCGGTGGACTCGTCACTCAGCCGCTCAAGGGTGCTGAGAAGGAAGGTGGGATAGGTCTCATCAAAGGCTTCGGCAAGGGCATCGGAGGTTTGATTCTCAAGCCCGCATCTGGTGAGTTGAATCCGTGCCATCTCCCGTGCTCAATCCCTTGCTATGCTAAGAATTACCGTTGCTAATTAATACAGCTGTATGGTCCGTCCCCGCGTACACCATGCAGGGTGTTCATGCAACTCTACGGAACGCCTTTTCGAGCAGTGTCCAGAACTACATCATTGCGTCTCGCATGAAGCAGGGACAAATGGACATGGAAAGCGCCGGCGCCGCGGAGCGCGAAGACGTCGTTGTGCGTTGGAACAATGTCAAATTTGACCTCAAGAACTTCCAGGCCATGAAGTTGAAGGAACAGCGAGAGAAGCAGAGGGCCGAAGGCGAAGGACCCTATGGACAGCCCGAGAAGAGTCTCACGGCCCCGGTCACTGGCTGGGCCCACACGAGGAAACTGTCCTTTGAGGAAAGGAAACAGCTTCATGCTCGAAAGGAAGCGTGGAAGAAGGGTCATGTCGAGGCCGTTGTCCCTGCCTCGAGGTCGGATCTGTCGCTTTCAGAACCTAGCTCAATGAGTGCCGCCGAGGACGAAGAATTTGAGCGCGCTATCCGCGTATCCGTCGCCGAAACGTCGCGCGGCAACGCTGAAGAAGACGCTGCGGTCGAGCAGGCTATCCGCGCAAGTGTCAATCACTTCCGCAGTTCCGGAGTTCCTGACATACGAGCCGAGAAGGCCGCGCCCCTCGACAGAGACGCCAAGAACCAGGACCAGGACCCGTTCACGAGCGCCGAGCTGGAGATCACGGACGAGGAGTA